TGAGTGTCTGATAGATTAACCCTGACAGCTAAAACAGAGCACATGAAGTAAAGTCTCGAGGGGAAACAAACACCTGATGGTCTCATAACTGAGGCACTCATGAACATACGTAGGCACCACTTGCAACTAATACGGAATTATATACGCACAATGCTGTTTGAGCAGCGGTGGTGGAGTGACACGGTCGCCAGAGAAACCACCTGCAGGTCCTGAATTCGAACTCACTCACCACCGTCCATCTTTCCATGATAAATATCCTCCGTGACAGCCGTTGTATGATCGCGGCCCTCTTCGTGAAAGTTAATTGTACATTTCTATAATCCATCCACAACAAAAAACATTTAATATCCATTTATTTGTCCAAATTTTAACCGGGCTGGACAACTAGACTGAGATCGTTTCACCCCTAATCGTAGTGACACACCAGAGCACGAGAATGCACGGTTAATCGCTGTAAAATCTGAAACTGGGGCGGCGACATTTTCAATGGAGCTACTGTGCTCATGCATGCACAAACATCTGAGTACGACCTACTGACATCTAAAAATTCAGTTCATCATGACAGGCCGGCGTTCGATGCCCAATGTAATGATGTTTTGTTCGACTAGCTTTTAGTCCCAATAAACACATGTGAATTCTCCATGTATCTATTTCTCGAAATGCATACGGACAGAAACACAGATATACGAGAACCAATAACAAGAAAAAAAAGTTAGAAACATTCTAGTATGTACAGACTGCAAATAACTGAGGAAAGGCGGGGTGCACAGAGCTATGATTCGTAATTCATTGTTGCACCGATTTCGGTCATATAGCGGAAAGACACGGGTAACACAACACTAGGACGAACTGCGTTCATGTGACAATGCTGAATAAAATGTTGGATTGTACGATAGACAGCCGAAAAGTTAACAAAACTCACCAGAACACGGATCGATTCGCTTCCGGAAGCCAGACAAGCGAATAACTTTACCATGGGAATCAGATGCTCGATGAACTGAACACAGTTTCGCTGAAATGAATGCATAAACAGAGCACATCATTATATTTCCAAGTGAGCAAACAATGGTCAGTTTCTAAGACGACGGAGACTTTGATGAAGTCACATTTCAAAAACACTTAATCAGTGATCTGGATCCAACCAGATGAGAACATCTTATAAACAAAAAACTAAACTGGTATGAATGAACAGAAACGCCAGGGAAACGTTCGCATCTGATTCAACGCTCGGCTTCGTATACCGGAGTGGATAAGTGGGACGGTGATTCTGTCAGTGTGCGAGACAAAAGGTATAAACCAAAAGTTTCGAACTCTTGCGCGTCGTGACCTATATGAGCCATATGTAAGGAGAAAACTCGCTCGGCCGTTCGGTGCGGGAAATTGGTCATCTAGTGTCACAATTCCCGTGCTCAACCAAATCCGCGGACAAAAGAGCGGACGCGAGAGAAGAATGAATTAGGTGAGAAATTCATGGAACTTTCGTCGATCGGAACACGCTAAGCCAGCTTACCCCGTCTTCAGCTGCCTGAACAGCTTTGATCAGGGCGGTGACCCGGTTGTCCATTTCGCGAACGAATGAGTTAGTGTAGACTGTCCAAAAGTGCAATTCCGTACGCTGGTCCAGAACCAAGACGAGAACGTGACATATCCACGAGAAGATACGTGTGTCTTCCACGTGCAAACAACCTTCCGTCAAGGGTTGAATGACCTGAGCATGAGGAGAAAATGAGTTCACGGTTATGAAAGATTTTAACAAGGAGGTAAATTTTGTCTTGACTACAGCATGGGAGCCTTAGATCGACCCTTACCTGGAAATCAAATGTACTATTGTGTTCTTTTTTCTTTTTCACTTTTAGTTTCTTTTAATGAATACATGTGATAAAACTTTCTGGGAATGAGGAAGCGGCCAATCAAAGGGCTGACATATAATGCACAATGGGGAAAGTCTGGTGGTGGGACTCGAACACACATCGTCCGGGGTGATAATCTAATAATTTGGTCAATGAGCCAACACTACCGACGAATTAACACTATTATAGGTATCATCATTATTAGTATGTCATATTCACAAACAAAGCCAATATACAATCCCATAACTAAGGGTAATACCAAAGAACTAATAAAACCAAGGTATTTTAGATAAAAAGATCCGCGAAAAGGGTAACAGAATCAATTAACATCTGCCAAATAGTCCTCCGAGGAAGAGCGCAACAGAAAAGACGCACTCCAAAACTATTGAGGC